TCCCCAACACCAACCAGGCAAAAACAAGGCCATGAATTCTTTGACTCTTTGTTTGGTCAGGCCTTAAATGCGCTTACAGGGATCGCTCGAAAGAAGCATTAAATATTTTAAAATAAAAAATCACTATTAAAATCTAGGCTGTGCCTTCAATAAATGGTTTATAAGCTTCAATTAATTTATAAAAGAGAATTAATATAACTTTAGCTTGAAGCAGCAACTAAGATTGTCCTTCGATTTATCCACATCATTGACAAAGTGTTTATGCCCCTTGAAAAGAGCATTCGAAAGGCAAACGAAATAAAAGCAATGCAGATTTTCATTTTCATTGTCATGTAGCAAAGTCACTCGGCCCCCGAAAGACCAATGTGAGAAGAGCAAACAGGGCGACGGGCGACAGTCAGTGAGAGCGGGGTAGTGAGGGGCGGCAATGGTCGATGGAAAGAGCGAAGCGAAAGCAAAAAACCAACAGCAATTTCAGGAGCATTTAGGACAGTCGCCGGTCTGCAGTCCCTTTTTTTTTTTTTTTTTTATAAAATTTGTAGCAGTTTTTTTATGCTCGAACTTCGACTAGTGCGCTTAACCATTTAGCTGATGTAACAACCCAGGCGAGGAGCCAACCACTCAGCCAGTCAGCCACCGAGGACCGCCGCATTGACCGCCGACTACAGGCAGCATCACCAGCCAGCCACTGTCGTCGTACCGTTGAGCTTCGCTTGGCCCTGCTCCCGAATGTCCTTGTCAGCATTTTGCGCAGTGAAATTTTTGGGTAAAATCTATTTTTCATCTTGGATTATGTGAATACATGAATGGGGGGGGGGGGAGGAAAGAAGAGTGCCAAGTTTTATTGTGACAGTTGAAGTTTGTTCGTTTTTTTTTTTGTTTCCCTTTTTGTGGGGCTGAAGGTCTGCCAGCTGTGTTGTCCGACGCGTTCACATTAATCAAATATCCGCATTATTAATTGTCGCTGATAATGTTTTCGAGTGCAAAATGCTGCTCACGTGACCTCAACATGGCGCTCGTTGCACCGCCATTGCATTGGTGGAGGAATCCGCAACTCGGCCACAGTGATGGGGGAATGGGGAAATGGGGAGTTGCATTTCTCCCTCGACCCAGAGTGCTGTGCCTGTGCTCTCATTCGCCTTTTGAATGGCAGCCGGATTGTCCCAACACGATTCGAGCTTCATTAGAGCCATGTTCTACAAATGCCTGCCCGCATGGTATGCCTATGTCATCTCTTCTCTGACAAAAGTATGCCATAAAGTATGCAATGCCTCTGTACGCATTCCTCTGCGTGCGTTCTCTCTGTCACTCTCTCTGGCTCTCACTCTCACTCTCCCTCTCCCTCTCATTCACTCTGTGTGCACTGCACTGCACCTGCCTGCAATCGTAATTTCAATAAAAGTTGTTACGTGCACGTTGAAATTTTAATTGAAAGCACCAACCACACCGCACAGAACGCTTGTGTCCTCCCTCTGCGTCTGCGTCCGCGTCCTCGTGGTGCGTCAGCTGCGCTGCGACCCTCATCAGTTGGGGCGAGAACAAAACAGCAGCGGCAAAAACGAGCATGACATTTCAAATGCGTTGTGGCTAAGGAGATTATATTGCATCTGCTCTGATGAGAAAAAAAAACAACCGATGCAACACATCTGACTCTGTTTGCATATACTCGTACACAGCCGTGTAGGAGTGCCAGTAAGTGGAATGGTCGTTGGCAAGGTGTGTTCAGGTTCAGCGCTTAAAATTAACTACTAGATAGCATCTCCTTCTACCCACTCATTTTATCTCAATGTCAGCTGTCTCGAACATTCAATTCAGAGCTCACATGTCCGCTCCTTGGGCGTATATGGAAGGAAGTAAAAATTTTAAAGTCACAACTTTCCTTACTATTTATTGTTTTTCACCTTTTTGGCTTTACCTTTCAATTGTCTTTATGGCGGACATTTTTCTATATCTGTCGGTCAGAGGATTTTGAATGACTAGCGAAAATTGCTGCAACTCTGCAGGAGAACTGCAGGGAGCGAGCAAAGTCTCCACCGACCGCAAAGTAAGTCGTTAAAACAAAGAACCCTATCGGCTTACAGAAACTTGGTTGCAGCAGCAGCAGCAGCAGCATCAGCATCAGTCCCAGACTGGAAAACATGTTCGTTTTGGCCACTGCCAATTGCAAGTTTTGCATGTAAAGCACCAAAAGTTTATGCTAAACTTTTACCATTTTCTATAGATTCTTTTCGGTTGGTTCTTTTTTTTTTGGTTTGTTTTTTGGCTGAATTTTAATTCCCCCAAAGTATGTAAATGTTACCGACAGCAACTATCGAACGACACCGATGTCGTTAGATTTTATGTGTAGGGTCGGATCCCCACAGACTGACCTTATGGCCCTTTCACCCAGATCAATCTGCATAGAAAGCTAGTTAAACACAGACAAAATATTGCACGAATGAAGAGTTGGTTCACAAGGAGCTGCGCAAACAACGGGGGGCATCGCTTACAACGGAACACGACAAGACACAAGACACGAAACGAGACATGGCTCGTCCGGCATTTTGGCTATTTATCCAGCACTCGATTCAATGGCAGTGCATGGCCAATATCATCAGTTGATGAAGACGAATATCAAGAGCGCCAGCACTAAGCATGCACAAATATTTGTCAACGGGCCCTTTGTGCTCCACGTTACCGAACAATGGCGACCATGAACTATGGTACAATGAACAGCCCGAAAACGGCAATAAAAATCAATATGCTGCTTATAATTGATGACTTGATAAACATGCAAAAGAAATGAGTATGGAGTAAGAAACTTGACCAACATGCAAGGAAACTTTGCAAATTATGCAAATGCACTTGTCTGGGTCGATGGACTGACTGCCTGCCCCCTTTTGAGTGCGCTTAATGGCGCAACACGCGCTGCTCAATGGGCCGAGCAAATAATTCTCGCATCTGCCGATGCCACTGCCACTGCCGCCTGCAGTGAGGGGTCCGAGAGTTTGGGGCCAGGACTAGCCCGCCCAGCTGGCGGGTAGTTCATCAAAGTTGGTTCGAACACAAATGAAAGTTTTTGTGCCGCAGCCATGAAAGATGCATGGCGTCTGGCCGTGGCCCACCGAGCTACCTGCCCAGTCTGGCTGCTCTCATGGCTCTCCTGCCACTGACATGCTTTTTGGGCCATGGCTTTGTAAAGTCAACAAGCCAAAAGTCCATAGAAAGGAAATGGCGATGAGAGAAGCCAGAAGCTGGGACTGAGACTGAGACTGAGACTGGCTAGAATGCGGCAAATGCAAAAGCAAAAGCAAAATTTCACCTAAACTCTTCTGTGGCATCCATGTTATCCAGTGGTAAAGGGACGTGTCGCGCCGAAAAGTTTCCTCCATTTTCTTTTTTGAAGATATGGCCTCAGGTTGCCTTGCCTACCGCCCCTCCAGCCCAGCCCGTATCTGGGGGATCCCTGGGGGAGGGAAATGTTGCAAACATGTCTGTTAAGCAAGGCGGCCAGCGGAACTTTGCTGTGCGGTTTGTCTGTCCGTCCGTCTGTCCCTCTGACTCGGAGACGAACGGCACCTCGTAAATTTCAAAAATTTTAAAACAACGCCAACAACAAGTATTTTTCACGCGCTGACCAAAATTATTTTAAATCACCTGCTGCCCCGCATTTATCATTAGAGCCAGCCAGCAACAGCAGCAGCGCCCCTACCAGTGGATGCCCCATTCCAGTGGATGCCATCCCATTCCCCCCCATCAAGTGAGACCAGAGCATGGACCGGACTGGCTCCCTAACGACCGCAGAAAGTCTTCAACCCAACTCCCAGGGCGACTACAACGAGAGCAAGATTTGCGAAAGAGCACTTTATTTTGGCCAAGCCATTGCCACGCCTCTCCCTTTGCCATCCCACTGATGCCACCCTACCCCCCTGCCCCAACACCGCACCATCCACCCACCCACTCATAATGTTCGCTGCTGGTGCTATTGCCGCTTCTGATGTTATTTTGCCATTTTCGCGCTTGGTCGGGGAAAAACTGTTTTGTTATCACAGTGATAAATGGAAAATTATTTTGAATCGAGCAACTACTTAAAAGAATTCCCAAAGGTTGTAATAAATTTTGGCACACAAAAAGTCACATGCATGGCCAGGAAGGACATACGAGAACGGGCAAGGACAACTTGGTAAGGACGATTCCAGCTTGAGCTCAATGGCGATGGCTGTGGCTGCCTGGCTGGCTTGGTAATGTCGTCCCAGATAAAAAGGTGATTGACGAAGCGAAAGCAAAAGTCATGGCCAAAATTCCACTTAGCAATGCAGTTGTCGTTGAGTTGAGAAAGGAGAAGGCAAAGGAGAAGTAGAAGTAGAAGCAGAAGTAACCGGGCGAGAAATCCGTTCTGGCATGCACTTAATCCGTATTGGGAGTTGGCGATGCCACGACCAAGGGCTCTACTCATAGAAGACAATCAACCCCTGAATAGATTCGCAGGCGAAAGATTTTCATGGCAGTCCTTGCATACTTGGAGGGAGTATCTCTGTGCATACAAGTCCTTGGACTGAGGGCAATCACCGATCTGAGTGAAAAGTACAAGAGTACACAGACAAGACGGAGCAGACTGAACGAGCGAGCAGTTAACAACATCTATTTTTATTTCATTAGGTAAAAAAATAGCCCGCAAGGCGACGCCGAAGGCGTTTCCGCCATCAAAACAAAGCGCAGCACACTGACGCGAGGTGAGCTCATAGCTGCGATGGGGATGGGACTGCGACTGTGTCTTGCCACAAAAAGAAACCGTTCTCTGCTCCTCAATTAGGTTAGCTTAATTTAAATTTGCTTCGAGTGCTTGGCTAGTGCTTGCAGGACATTAGCAGCAAATATTTGCCCAAGCTTAAAGTGCTCCTTAAATGCGAATAGTTCCGGGAAGTTTTTACAAATTAGCGACGGCCAAGCACTTGTTAAATAAAGGCAAATATTATCCAGAAATTAATAGATCACATCATCACATTTTCTGATTGATAAACTTCGAGAAGTTAAAAATACTTCCCAGCAACATTGCACAAAACTCATACTATATAAACATATTTTTTATTTTTACCAGCATCGAAGCATTGAAAGCCCAATCGATGGACCTGAACGACGATGACTATGTGGGACAGCCGCATCATGCGCGGATCATACGCATGCCCAATGATCTGTCAATGTTGGCCTTGAATGAGCTTTACAAGCCATCGCTGAATACGCTGACCCTGCAGAGCGAACAGAATCGTCAGGTGTTCGCGGAGGCCTTCATAGAGGGTGATTTGGATACGCTGGCCAACCTGTGCGTGAAGGCTTTGGCCCGGCGGGGCATCAGGAACGTGCCACAAATGGTGCTGGAAAGACCAGAATGGATGCGAGTATTTTACGATGCACTTGACATAGAACTGCCGCTGAATGATTGCTACTTTATTGATGACCAGCGCTACTGGCAGCGTGTTGTGTGGGCCAAGACTTCGGACAAGCAGCTGCGCATGAAGAGCTGGCACGAGTACGATTGGCGAGCCAAAGGCCTCAGTCTGAAGTACGTGGAGCTGGTGGAGGACTGCCCAGCAGCGTACTGGCCAGAGGCACAGATGGCCGCGCTGGCCGCTTTGATCCAAGACTCTGTAAACGCCATACACATAAAGAGACTGCAGGTGCTGCCCGATACGGTGTTCGCCAAGTACGATGAAAGCGAGGCGGAAATAGATGTCTCCTCCGAGTCATCGGAGGAGGAATATATATCCAGCGACGAAGCTGATACGGAAGAGGATGCAGATATGGGCGAAGACGAGGGCGAGGAGGAAGAAGTCGTCGTACAGAAACCAGTCCGAAAGGGGACCCTCACTGCAAATGAAACGGAGCAAAAGATGGACACTTTGGTGGCCAGTGATTCGGAGAGGAAGACAAACACTTTGGGAACTGTGCAAGTAGCTGCATCGTACATATCGTCGCCCTCGCAGTCCGTGGTGAGTGATGAGGAGACTGCAGAGCGGCGCAGGGCGCGTCATGTGCGCAACGTTGCGCGCCAAGAGCTGCGGAACATGGTGGCCGAGAAGAGTGCCAAGCGCCTGGAACGTCGCCTCAGGCGAGAGAAGATGCTGGAAGAACTCAGGAGCACGTTGGAGCCGAGGAGGAAATCCAAGCGAAAGAAGGCAATAAAGGGCGTCTTTGACATACCCGTCGAGCCGGAGCCACCCGATCACGAAGGCCAAATAGTCGATAAGCGCAACAGGGAAATTTGCCTGCGCCACCTCAAGCGATTCAACTATCCCACGGAACTGTGCCACCACATTGATCTGGGCTTTGTGCGTCACTTTGAGAACCTGACCTCGTTCACCCTGGAGTTCCTTGGCACACCGGACACCAATCACGAACATTACCAGAGTCACCAGTTGAAGTTCTCATACGACGACATGACGCACCTGGCCAAGGGCTTGCTGCACCTGCAACAGCTCAAGATCTTCCGACTGCGCAACAGCCTCATGGACAGCCGACATCTGAGCATTCTGGCGCGTGCTCTGCGGACCATGGACTCGCTGGAAATCATCGACTTTGGGTACGACCAAATGGAGGATGACTGCAGCAATGCGCTGCAAATATTGATGGATCGCACAAAGATGGTCAAGAAATTGCAGCTGGAGTACAATCGTCTGGGCGTGAATAGCATGGAAGTGATCGGCCTGGCACTGGCGCATCACAAAGATGATTTCCTGGAGTACCTGGGGCTGGCCCACAATCCGCTGCGCGAAAATGCCTTGACCAAGCTCTTCCATCATATTCATGGCACGGGCCACGTGCGTGCACTCAATATCACTGGCGTGGAGGGTGGGCCCAGCAAGGGGGCTATTGCCAGAGACATTGCGTTCCTGCTGCGTCACCACCATCCACTGCGTCGCCTGGAAATGGCGGCGATACCACTGGGTTCAGCCGTGGGACTACCCCTACTGCGTTCCCTAGAGGGCAACAGAAAGGTTATATATTTCGACTGCCGCGAATGCGATCTGGACGCGGACCAGGAATTCCAGGCGGACATCATAGTGCGACGCAACAATTACTGGGTGAAAAACCCGCCCATCGATGATATATGCAACCTGATCAAAAATCGAAAGCATCACTTAATCCAAAAAATGGAGCACGCCTATGGGACATATAAGGAGTGCGTCCTCTCTCGCCCTGCACTATCCCACAGTAACGTATCCTCCATCCAGGAGGTGGTCGAGGAAAAGGTAGAGGAGGATTACGACATCTGGGCCGTACTGGGCTTAAAGAACCGGTCAACTTATAGAGTGGAGATAGAGCCGAGCCAATCCTCCGAGTCGGCGGAGGTGCCCTTCGTCTATGAGGCCAACAAATTTAATTTGGAACAATTTCGCGAATTCGTCGATATGCCAGGACCATCGAATCGTTTTTTCTATTTTCAAAATAATAGAATGTAGCACTGAAGGCCAATTTGTTTACCTTTGGGCAGAATTAAGCGATATAAAATAAAATACTTAACCCAGCCGCCTCTTTATCTGCCCTACTGGCGCATCCTATCTGCCCCGAGGGCCCATCCCTGCCACAATCTCAAGGGCTTGGAATGTCGTTCGACCTAATGGTCACTTTAAACCTTTGCCATAAAGTGCAGCGCTGGCATAAACTGAAATCTAATTAAGTCGCTGGCGACGTGTTGGCACTGCCACACCCACGCCACCCACACCCACACTCTGCGGCCACACCTCATTTGAAGGTCGTTTTAGAGGGGGGGAGAGTGCCGGATAGTGCCGGAGACTGCCGCTGCAAGTGCAACAAAGTTGAGCTGTTTGCATTTAAGCTGCGCAGATTTGGGCAACAGTGTCGCCAACTTAATGCTGCCCTCTCCTCGCCTCTCCTTCTCCTTCTGCATTTCCTTCAGCTCCTGCTGGCTGGCCAAGTCAATGTCGCTGGCTTGGCCAGTGAGCCATAAAAGAGCCAAGACCGGGGGATGGACCGATGCGAAGTTGCGTCTTGTTAACAAAGCCAAAGCTCAGTGAATATAAACAAATTAATGCAGCATATGCCCGGATCGCCTCAGGTCGGTTGTCTGTAGATGGTTGATGGTAGATGGAGAGTTCATGACTCCATCTCGTCAGGATTCGCATTCGCATTCCCATGGAAGAAATATGTGCGCATGTAATTCAACTTATCAACGCGCCAAGCAACAACAAACTTTTCTCATCTACTTAACGCAGATAAGCGGATGCCTTGCCTCTTTTTGCCATGTTTACTGGCTTCTAATTTGCCCAGCCACAGATGCGACGCGGCGTACACACCCTCACATGCCATACTAAAAACATAGACCAAACTGAGACACTGGCGAAGCGTTGATGGCGTTAACTTAATTTTGCAGCCAACACCAACACTCGACTCGACTCGACTCAAGTCGGTCCGGGCCAAGTAGGACCGGGGAAAAAACTGGCAAACATTCAGACGGGACGTAACTAGGCAGTGCACACTGGAGGACGCACTGGGTGGCCTTTTTGCTGACTTCTCTTGTGTGAAATAAAATTAACTAAATACGCTCACGAGTAACATTCATAATAAACATTAAGCAGCAAGCAGCAAAGGCGAAAAAAGTCGAATAAATATAAAAAATAATATTTGCCAGACGACTCCTTTTTGCGATTACGCCGCCAGTGTGGCCAGCGCCAGTGCCAGTGCCAGTGCCGGGGCTTTTCTTTTTGCTGGCCAGGGATGCGTGCGGGCGGGTGAAATTATGGCATAAGTTACTTAGGAGTGAAGCTTGCTTCCTGCTCTCCACGCCTGTCCCCCGCCTCGCCCCCCCTGACAGCATCAACTTGGCTACACTTTACTTTTATGTGGCGCGCTCGGAATGTACTTGCAAGCGGAATAAAGATACAGATACAGAGATACACAGAGCTCCGAGATACAAGCACATTTGTAGCGATAAGCGTCATAAAGTTATCGTAAGTAAGCGCCGAAAAAAAGTCCAAGAAAAATAAGAAGAAGAAAAATAAACCAAGGGGGGAGGGCGAACGCAGTGCAGCCACAAGTTAAAGGCAGCTTTGTACTTGGAGCAGGGAATGAAGAGGATCAAAAGTTAAGCATAGGTGGCCGAAACTTAAGATACTCTTGCATACCCCTTGCAGATACATATAACATATAACTCCCCCAAAAAAGGTTCACACAAAAACTTCTCTTGGGACAGATCCGATCCTGAACATTCTCTGCGAAAAGAATCTGCATCGACTCGGCCGTACAAGCATCTATTAAAAAATAGAAATACCTTTGGCATAGAGTATTATAAAACTATGACAAGGATGTAACTTTTAGCACTGTTTCCCGCTTTCGCTGCCCTATAAGCTATTCCCCATTGGTCGCGGCGACGGTCCAGGGGCAAATGTTGCACAGCAGACAGTCAATTACGCAATGCCACGGAAGTTTCGCGCTTTGTTTTCTCACCCGTTGTCAGTTTAATGAAAGCTTTCGCCTAATAATGCAGCGACGCATCGACGTATCTGCCAAATGGCTGAGGGTGAATCTTCGAGTTTACCTTGGCTGCGATTTATTTGCCTTTGCTGGCAGAAGCTTAAGCAGCAGCAGCTTGTGCTCAGCAAATATGCAGCTCATTGGATGTTTAATTAACCTTTAACACAGATTTTTGTACCAGCTAAGCAACAGCTAATGGCTGCGAATTCCTATTTAAGCGCTGTCTTCAAAAGTAAGCCAGGAATGGGAAGTACTTGCATAACTAGCTATCCTCTAAATTGCAGCTTTAAAAACCTCAATTTCCTGATTAAATTCAAGCTTTAAAGGTGCTCTAGTCTGTGGGGAAATATTTAATTTCATATTCAATTTAATGGCAGTATTAAAGGCAGAAGAATTAAAAGGAAGAAGGTAAAGGAATATCAAAAAATCAAAAGATACACAGGCAGAGCTCATTGAATGTAAGAGGAATCTTTACAATTTAATTCACTGGACCCCAAGCAGCAGCCGAGGCGAAGGACTCAGCCCACTCCGTCTGACCAACGACAGTTGGTCGTTAATAAAACAACATTTATAGGATATACATACATATACACACGCACACACACTAAGGGAACAAACGTGTATATGAGCCGGAGTCAAGCTGCGCTTAAATGACAGCCGGACATGCATAAGTGACAGTGAAATGTTGCACAGGGAACTGTGCAACAGCAACTGCAAATGGGGCATTGGTTTGGTTCGGTGTGGCACTCCGGCTGAGATTCTTGTAATCGCTGGCCATCCATTCAGGTGAATAAATATATGCCTTCACATTTTGTACATATTAAATGGCATATGAAACGAGTATTTCTGCTGCACTTTTTAATGCAGCTCCTGCAGATGGTCTGGCTCTTGAAATGCTTAAAGTAGCAGTGGAAATATATCACTCCATTAAAGGAAAATAAGCGAATCTTATTTGCATGACGACACCTTAATAAAACGGAAGTGCCTGGCGTCAGCAAAAAGCCAAACAGATATGCAGAAAATTATAAGAACATCCCCGGATAGTCGACTCGTGGGGCACCCAATATTGAGAAGTTCCGGCTTCCCGGATCAACAGTTCCTCGACGAGTATATACCCGTGCGTGCCCCGTGTGTGGTGGTGCTTGGGGAGGCAATGCCAACACCCGACCAGCCTGCCACCCACTGCACATGGCAGGTAACTGAAAGTGCCCCACCGCCACCTGTCTGTCTGCGCACACGGGAAATGCATTGCACTTCCGTCATCAAATAGCAATTTTGCAAACATTTGCAATTACTTTTACGAGTCGATTTCTATATTGTATTGATTCCGTGCAAACATCCCATGGAATGCAATTTTCCACCACCTCAGGGCCACCAGTGCGTATGGGATTGAGCGTAAGAACGCTCATCATATGTATCTCTTCAGCAACTTTATACATTAGATATTTAAATAGTTTTCTGCCAGTTGGCCTGACCATAAACCTGTCAAATAAAATGTCAAAAATTAAAAGTCTTAAACTATGCAAAACTTGGGATTCGCCCGAAAGGAAGCTGCTTTATTGGACCTCAAATGGACGAGGGCTGCTCGAAAAAAAGGAAAAATCCCGTGGGGGCTGCAAGGCAAACTAAAAGCCAAATCAACCTAACGGCCTCGGCGTCCGAACAGCAGCAAATGGCGGTTATTCACAACGGGAATGGTGCTTCAACGGGTCATCGTAGGCCTGTTTGCATCGCATCAGACATGTGTGAGTGTGTCCGTCTGTCTGCGATGAAAAAACTGTTGACTTTAGTTTTGGACATCCGGTCCATTTAGTGTGTGACTGGCCAACGAGTTGGGCGGGCAAGCAAGCAACCTGGCAACAATCAGGCGCATATCCTGGACCGGACTGGGCCACAGCGGGCTGTGGTGGTTGTCATGCATTTTAAAGCGCTCTCGACAAAAGTTGATTTCTCTTTTGACCCATTATGAAATTGCTCTGGCAATTTTGCATAAACAAATTACAAAGCAAACATAAGAGAAACACACAAATGCTGACCTTTCGGCACAAACTCACACACAAACACCCAAGGAAACTCGTACAATCAGTGCCCCGAGTCCGAGTCCGAGTCAGCGTCACAGACGACCTGCTTCGCTTCTGCTGTTGTCAGTGTGGCACAGGACAGAACTAGTTGCTGAACAGGGTAACTTTTCTTTTTTTTTTGTATCTGCCTGTTTGCATAGGATCAAAAAAGCCCAAACAGTGAGGAGGCTGAGAAGGGTATGTGGAAGCCCCGTGCATCCCAGGGCGTTTTTATTGAGTCCTTTAAGTTTTTAGTAAATAACACAAAAACAACTCAAAGGCGGTGGCAAATTGCCAAAGTCCTTCAATTGTAGCTGTGAATGTTGTGCGATGCGTAACATTTGGATGATCAATGGAAGCACGGGACATTGGGCTAGGTCGAGTCCCGGCCCCGACCCCCACCCCGGTCCTGTCCGGAATGGGCGGCCGGACAAAAGGGCCCAAGTTCTGAAGAATTTTGTACAAGTTTGCTTTAATTTGCCAGCGAATTGATTTCCATTAAAACCCAATGGGTCAGAGTTAGCTGACAGTCAGTCGAGTTTGAACATTTCAAGCAGTTTGCCATTCAAATGATGCATAAAGTTTTTGGATTTTTGGTGCCAGATTGAGTGTGTGTGTGTATGAGTGTGAGTGTGTGTGGTTCTGGTCTGCGTGTGCCAGTGAAGCGGTTGACCTTTGATTGGAGGCTCGGATATGAATGGAAAGTTGGGTCGGGACACAAGTTAAAACCTCTTAGTGGTGAAGAATTGATATGGCACATTGCCCACGCGTGTGTTCGTGTGGGCTTCATCTTTGGAGAATTGCTTTAAGCTTTGCATGTTGTTCTCTGATACAAATCAGTTGAAAGTTGTTGAAGTTTTCGTCTTGTGGCTAAAATTCCTCGAATTTTTATAACATTTTTTATAAATTAAAGCAGGTTTGAGGAGGGATGTTGATGCAGCCGGAAATATTTTTTGCATAACGCAGAAATAT